CAAGCTAACATATATTCTTATGTTAGATCAATGTTTGATAAATATAAATCTATGGAAACAACATATGGTGAAACTAGGGAAGTAGAAGAATACAATGAGATACTTAGCACTGGGAGCTATGACGGCATGGAACTCATGGAACATCAATCAACATTGCCAATTCCAGAACAATGTCCGAGAGAAATTATAGATAAGTTACAACGAAGTTATATAGGAGCTTACAAATATTAGTATGATAATTTGTAATTGGCTACTAAGAGGCCTAGTTCAAACAGAACCCTTCCTAGAAGGTGGCTGCGTAGATTAGGTGCTCTTCAAAAGAATTATATTTGTATGTGAGATTTGTAAGTTCTATTAATAAAATAGAAGGCTCTAAGCGTTGAATTTTTTTTATGAATTGTCTTACACTCTTACTTAGTTACTTAATGGCTTGAAATTATATGAAATAAATTATAACTCTATTATAAATTTATAATTACTAGAATATTTCATTACAAGTCATTTGTTTTAATATTTTATAATTCTTTACTTAGTTTCCTAATTTCCGTTTAATTTTTAAGTTTATTAAATAAGTCAAAAAACTAGATGTTGCAAACTTTAAAAACTTAGTCATTATCAAATGAATAGCGGTTTCCAAACTCAATGCTTAAATAATTTTTTTTTTAAAACGGCACTTAAGGCCCGCGAACCCGTTCCGTCCCGTACCGTTTGTTAGCGGGACGGGATGGGCCTACCGTCCGTCCTGTCTCGTCCCGTTTGTTAGCGGGATGGGATGGGCCTACCGTTTCGTCCCGTTTGTCCCGTCCCGTTTCGTCCCGTCCCGTCCCGCCTCCGTCCCGGCTAAATGCCGTCTCGTCCCGTCCCGTCCCGTTGGACAACCATAGTTTTACCTGCATATGGTTGTTTTATTGCTTAGTGTTTGGCTTCTTGGACTTTGCATATGCAATTTTATTATAAGTCATTGTAAAGCACTGATATCCTCTCATTGTGTCTCATCTAGTACATGCTTGGTTTTGAGTCTTGATGATTCAAGCAATTTGAATGTCTTTCTCTTTTTTTTTTCTCCTCTTAGGATTTTAAATTCTATGCTTTTCCTCATTTACCATTTTCTTCAAGGTAGATTGCTGTCTTCATCAATCTGGATTGCTAATTACGTTTCACAAAATGTTGTATATGCAGAGGAGCAGCTTATTAAGACAAACCAACAAAACATATTGATTAGATCTCTCATGCTTAAGAATCAGAGGGGTGATTATAGTTCAAAAGATGGCAAGGGGATTTCCTCAAATGACAATGGTAGAAAAAGGTAATTGTCCATGTTTTCTTTGTTCAGTATTGTTGCTATCCTATACCAGCTAGTGTACCTCTGTCCAGTTAACTTATTGGTGTTGTATCTTCTGCCACCACCCAACTTTCAGGGCTGCTGAAAAAGCATTGGATAGTAGGGCATCAAGCAAGAAGGCTACTACCAGTAACCAAGTTGCCTCTTGCCAAGGTGAGCCCATTATTAATCATCATTTAGGGTCTTTGTAGGTGGTACAATCAAAAATATTGTTAAACGAAGTGGTCTTTCATAAAAAATATACTTGAATTATTGTGGTTCATGCATTCTATTGCTAAATTGAAAAAGAATAAAGCAGGTGAGTATCCCTTAGCTCTTTATTACTTCATCTGTTTAAATTGTCAAATTTGACTCCTAAATTCTAACTGAAAACTTTCATCGCATTGTTTGAGTATTAGCTGTAATACTTTTGGGTCCACAAAAGGAGAACATTAGTATTATATGCAAACGTACCCTTCCATTTTATGAGATACCATTTGACTGGGCACAGAGGAATTTAAGATGTACTTACACCCAAGGATGCGACCTAGGGGTCAATGAAGTGAGTCGAGAACCATGAGGTCTCAGGTACAAAGAGGAGGTAAAAACGCTAGGTGATTTCTTTTCATTTGTTCAAGCCTTGGTGAACAGAATTACCCGATGCATGTGCTGGTGGGAGGTAGCAGGTACCCCGTGAAATTTGTCGAGGTGCGCACAAGCTGGCCCGGACACCACGATTAAAAAAAAGATGTTACTTGATTAGTATACATTAGTAGGAGCAGTAGAAGGATATATTACATATATATTGAAAATTTATCTTGGTTGGAGAGCATCCCATTTTAATTTGAATTCTAAAAGTTCGTAGGAACTATAATAACTTTTTTAGCAGAATTTTGGAATATTTTAGGACATCATAAAATGGAATATCTCATATGGATTGCGATAGAAGCCGTAGTATCTAAATTACTAATGAGTTAATCGTAGTGTTTTTCATTCTAACAGCCTCCGTTGACCTTAAAGGTCAATCTTGATATTCTTAGGCAAGGCAATGAATTAAATTTTAACTTAAAATATTTATTGCAGAACACAAAGAGGGAATTCTAGGCTGGTAATGGAAGAAAAAAAAGGGGCATGAGGGGGCTAGTATATTTTACAAAGTTAATCACGGAACACAAAAGGAGAAGGTTACTCTTGCAATGAAAGAGAAAATGGGCAGGGGGCTAGTGTAATTTTAAGAACTGGGAGGTCCTCTTGAATTATGATAAATATAAATAGAGAGGAGATTCGACTTAACTATGCATTGATGACATAACGAGAAAAAGTGTATTTATCATCCATAAAGAAACTAATAATCATGTCAGTATTAGGACTGCTTATGAGATCATAACATTTACGACCAATTCTTTTTCGGATGAAAAGGTAAAGATTGTACACCAAACATATTATACCAATAATAGGCCGTGTGAATTACTGCCAAGCATCAAGTACATATATTCTGTATATATCTAATTGGACTAGATGGTGAATACAAGCTGCTGTTTCAGAAAATGTGTCTTCGGGACATTGAATGACATGGAAAAAAGGTGATTAACATGCCTTAGCTCGAACTTCTGTAAATGTCCCTTTCGGGACATTGAGTGCCATATCCCCGAAACCTCTGTTAACGTGGAAACCACTTACAATGAGGTCTATCAATTTCCCTTATAAAAAAGTGAGGTCTATTGATTTGACTCCAAAGGTCCAAGAAATAGTATGTTCTCACGTAGACACCGTCATGTTTTTTCATGTCAGATGTACACTGGTAGAACTTCATTGTTAAAATTCCTACTGTCTTTGTGCAAATCTACTTGTTTGAAGTCTTTGTTGAAACTACTTATTGCAGAATAAATTCATGGGCATTATCATCTATAGTTAATGATGTATTAAACTGTCTTAACTCCTGCAGAAACTTCAAAAGCTCGTACACCTGGCATACAAAATATGACTGTTGAGAGGCTACGGATTCTGTTAAAGGAGAAAGGTCTTTCACTGAGAGGAAGGAAGGTAAGTATTTGCCTATCCTTTTATCTTAGATAGGTTTTGAAATGTTCTACCTTTCCTCCTTAAGGAGCTTGTTGGTAAATCTAATTCACTATACACTTTTTAAGTTCTACTTTTATGATGTGTTTTTCCCAACTTGTTTGGGATTGAGGCGTCGTCGTTGTTGTTGTACTTGTATAATGTGTTTTGTTGAATATTTGGCCTATTCTGTAGCATGACATGTCATTCTATTTCAATAAACTCTCACTATGCAATTCTGTCGGCAGGATGAACTAATTGCACGGTTAAAGGGGGACACATGACTAAGCATATTCCAAGAGTTTGAGGCAGCTAATTCTAAATTCCATTTTGTACACCATGCAGCTGTGTGAAGTAGGCCCTCACATATGTATTATTTGTGTACTTTACAACTAATTAAGAGTCAACTTTTGGCCTTACAACTCTTTGTGTGCATTCGTGCGTTTCTGTGTTCTTGTTGTATGACATAGCTTTTTGTTAAAATGTGAGGGTGCACTAGATGTATGCGTTAATAGCTACATCACGCATCTGATCTGTGAAAAAGTGCATGTCAACGACTTCCAAAATTTGCTACCCTTTGCAAATTCAGTATGAAACTGGTCTTTCAGAATCTACTCTCGTTAGTTTATGGATCTACTCTTCAGCATCCACTAACAATTTTTGAATCTCTCATGCTACCTCTTCATTATTTTCAGCTGCTGATGATATTTCCGTAGTATTCAACTGTGCTTCTTCGCTCTGCTGCGTATGACATCTTTGTTTTGGTGGTGCACTTTAAATCCTGATGGCTCAAGCATGAACTGTACCTGAAATCAGTTAGACTTGTGTCACCCGAATGAATTACCTCTTTGATGAGTTGGTCAAATAATAATGAATTACTCCATTGTTCTTCATAGAAGTAACTAAAAATCTGGAAAAAATGACCAAATTATATTTGTATCTTCAAAAAGAAGCGCACGAGGTTGAAGGTATTTATATTAGGTGCGCTTCTAGTGGTCTCTTCTAAAAATCACTAGTCTAGGTGAGCTAACTTGATACATGGGCTAGTGAGTACCAAGTACTCATTGAAAACTGACTTGCACATCACCATTATCTAAAAAATGCCCTAAATAGTTGGATATAATTATATGTCATATTGTTGAATCCAGATATGGTATTGGTGCATGTTATTTGCAGATGATATTGTATTGGTTGATGAGACGCGCGACGATGAGAATGCGCAATTAGAGGTATGGAGGCAGACCTTGGAATCTAAAGGTTTCAAGTTGAGCAGGACCAAGCCAGAATACTTGGAGTGTAAGTTTAGTGGCGAGACTCAAGGAGGGGAAGGGGAGATGAGGCTGGACTCGTAGGTCATCTTTAGGAGATGGAGTTTTAAGTACCTCGGGTCTATTATTCAGGGGGATGGGGAGATTGATGAAGATGTTACACATCGTATTGGGGCGAGATGGATGAAATGGAGACTAGCTTCCGGTGTTTTGTGACAAGAAGGTGCCACTGAAACTTAAGGGTAAGTTCTATAGAGTGGTGGTCAGACCAACGATGTTGTATGGGACTGAGTGTTGGCTAGTCAAGATCGCTCATGTCCAGAAGATGAAGGTAGCAGAGATGAGGATGTTGAGATGGATGTGCGGGCACACTAGGTTAGATAGGATCAGAAATGAGGTTATTCGTGACAAGGTGGGTGGCCCCTATTGAGGACAAGATGCGGGAAGCGCGGCTTAGGTGGTTTGGTTATGTGAGGAACATGAGCACAGACGCACCGGTAAGGAGGTGTGAGGTTGACATCGGAGGGCCTACGGAGAGGTAGAGGTAGGCCAAAGAAGAGGTGAGGAGAGGTGATTAGGCAAGACATGGCGCATCTTCAGCTGACCGAGGACACGTCCCCTGATAGGAAGGTATGGAGGTCGAGGATTAAGGTAGTAGAGTAGGTAGTCTAGAGTGTTCATAACAGTAGTATTGACACGCAATCTCGCTTTCTGTTGGTATTAGGTTTTTATGACAAACCGTTGTTTTCTTTCATTGTTGATTACCTTACTGTCTTGTTGTTTTTATCTTGCTTTTATATGGCTTTTTGGTACTGTCCCTTTGTCTATATTTTCATTAATGTGGTGCTTATGCTTTCCTTAGCTGAAGGTCTATTGGAAACAACCTCTCTATCCTCACAAGGTAGGGGTAAGGTTTGTGTACACACTACCCTCCTCAGACTCACAGTGTGAGATAATATTGGGTATGTTGTGTATTGTGTACTGTGTCTATAATATTGTTCACGTATTTCATGTCGGCAATTTGCAGGGTGTTATAAACCTCCGTCAGAATTGAAATTTGTCCCCCTTCAACTCATTCTTACCACGAAGATGAAATTTTTTTAGCTCTCATACTACCCACCTTATTTCCCATAATTGCTGACTCCATGTTGGTATGAATGAAGTCATTTTTTGACTTTCACAAGTCAAATTTGCTCCCCAAGATGATTTTAAGATTAAACTCTTAAAAATTTATTACAATAGACAAGAATGATAAATTACACGATGAGTACTCTTACAAGAGGATTTGTCAATTTAAGTGTAGTGTAAGTTGAAATTGCAGGTTCAGTTCTTGCTACGAAATATGGAAGCGCGAAATTAAAATATTGAAAAACTATGATTTGAATTTTATGCAGCTACTGCCTAAATTGATCTATACATAGACTTGATTTTAAGTGGTGAAAAATTGTGGATTACGATGATGTTAGGTGTAATTTATGTATGATTGTCGACACGACATGAAATGATATATAAAACATGCTGTTCAAAACAAATATCCAACTAGAAATTCTAAAACATGCTGTTCAAAACAAATATCCAACTAGAAATTCTAAAACATGGTACCAACATAACGGCAATTACTTCTACCTGCTGCTATTTTAGCACCTTTTCACCAGTAATAAATAGTACTCTCACTATTTCAAAAAGAATGAACTTATTATTATTTAAAAAGGCAAATTGGGTTTTCTAAAAATTAGAGAATCTATATTTGAATTCACATCGAAAATTAGTCAATTTGACCTCGTACTTCGAAAACATTCAAACAAATTAAAACGAAGGGAGCAGTAATTACCAGTATAACAAAATGCTACAAAGTCCTAGGATACATAATGATACTCGTCGGTAGCAAAGAGGCCATCTAAAATATTGTTTGAAGTCGACTAGCACAGTAGCTTTTCCTGAAAAAGGAAAAAACGTGTTCGAAAGCTACTTCTATTTCAGTCCTTCACCACTTGGTTCCATTTTCCAGTCCCATTATTTTCTCTTTTTTGTCTGTTTCTCAATTAGTATTATTATTTTTTTTTACCAAAAACTGAGAAATGCATTATTGTGGGGAATATACTAGGACTCACTACATTATAGTGAGATGTTTGACTTGGTTAATAGTCAAGCTTGTACTCCTTGCTTATCAAATTATATCATTGAGACTTTAACTTAATTATTTTATTAAAACCTTTTAACCCTCTCTGGATGCTCACAATTTAAGACCTAAAATGTTACTCCATGGACATCAATGAAGTCCTCTGCCATACTGATTTGTTTTTACTTTCAAATCATAGACCCTGTATTTGATTGGCCAATGCATCTCACATCATACTATTAAAGTGATATAATTTAGAAACAATTAATTAATATAAGAATAATTAAAAGGACCATTCAATTGAAGTATTATTCAGAAGGCACCATAATGAAGCTTTTTACGATTCCACCATCGGTGGACTAAGTGCATTTTGGCGCACCTTATAGTTGAACAACTATTTGAAACTATAAGTTATACACGAGGATGTTGTTAATGATTTTTACATTATAAGTTCAATTTAACCGATTTTATTATTTTCTCTAAGTTATCAATCTATAGAATTACATGCAATTATTTTTTTAGTAATCCGGTTGTGTAAATATATTTTACTATTAAGTACATGTAATTTAATCTCTTTGTAACAATATATATATAAACAATAAACTTGTTATAAAATATAGTTTAAAGTAACAATATAGAACAAGAAAACACAAACTAAGAGATATAAAAAGAAAAAGATGAGAAATTTTTATTTCTTCTTCAATTGTGTTTCTTCTCCTATTTATTACAAAACTTTTAAATATGCATAAACAAGTATTAGAATAGTGTGAAGTATGAATCTAACGGAGAAGAGTAGACATCCAAAGCTCATCACAAACTTTACACAGCAATACAAAAACATCAATTTCCACCAATTAATATGATACAACTGGCAGATAGCAAAGCCAGAGAGAGATGTGACAAGTTGTAATTTGAACAGGTTTTTTTCTCTTGAAATTGGAGCGTGTACTCCCAAAAAATGAAAAAAAGAAACTTTAATCCAAACTCCAAACTGATGTCGACTCAACTTTTTCTATTCATTTTTCTTTTATAAATGAATTTCAGTAGATGACAGATAACAAGTACTGTCAAGACAGGACATAAATCCTTAAACGACGAGTGGGAGTTTCTACATTTGTCGTTGTTTTTCAACGAGAACAGCGCCGAAATTTGGATAGCAGCAGAGCAGCTAGCTAACCCGTGACCTAATTAGGAATATAGGAAATGTGAATCATGTGCTTTTTTAAAGGAAATTTTACCTCCGGTACCAAAGGTTGATTCCTTATTTATTATAAATAAATATTCTTTTAAAAAATTATCTCCTATAGCTATCTTTTAACTTTTATAACAAAATATCTATTTATGCTCACTTCCTATCTTTAAGTCATTAAATATGCTATGTATTATTTTTTTCTCTCTTTCTTTCTTTTTTTCTCTCTCTCACAAAATTACCGTATAGGAAGTAAACTTCTCTCTCCAGGATGTCTCTCTCTTCAATTTCTCTCTGTCACAGCGCCATTCTCTTCCCCATTCTCTCTATCAACGATTCTCCACTGATTCATCGCCATTATCTCTCTCAATTTAGCCAAGCTTGTGGAAATTACTGGCGGAGGACTTGACAGGCCATTGTCGAGATCAAGCCCCATTGGCGATGCAGCGTTGGCATAATTTATACCACCGAAGCCATTTATTCCCTCAGGAAGTCCAAATGCAGGATTTGCTATAAGGGAAGCCATTGATCCTTCCAAGGATGATAAAGGCCCCAAAAGTGTAGATCTCAAAATTTTCAAAGCATAAATGAGAGATTCACTACCTAGACGACTCAGAGGGTGCCGGTATCGGCAGCGACGCCCCACATGGCGGCGGCCTGGATATCGGTGGATTGGGGACGGAGTTTGGGGCTGAGGAACTTGAAGAGTCTGTTACCTTTTTTTTCATTGTATTTCAATATATCTCGCTGTATTCCATGTATTTCATTGTATTCACTATCTTTTTTTCAATTGTATTTCAATGTATCTCGTTATATTCCATGTATTTCATTATATTCACTGTCTCGCTGTATTCCATGAATGTATTCATATATTTTTTTAATTAATATAATTTATGTATTTAGATGTATATGTGTATTCAAATGTATCTGCAGTATGTATTCATTGAAATACAAATAGATGACCTGCTATATTTTATGTATTCAATGTATTTTTATGTATTTAACTGTATTCAATGTAATTATATAATTTCAATATATAAATCTATTTGTAAAGATACCA